TAACTTGATGACGTCATCAAGGGGTGTTTGTGACGTCAAATAACTTATGTATACAATGTAAACTAAAGTGTAAACAATTATTTTCAAGACCTGTGGTCGGAAATGGCTGTATCTTTTATACTTTTGAATCTATGGACACTTAAATTTAGGATACAATTGACTACATTTGACTGTCAAAGCGTCTATCCCTGAATATGTATATATCACGACAATCTGTCGTAAAACAGGGGTTCTAGAAAACCCACTTCCCAATGCTACTGAAACTTAAAACTTTTTTTGTAGTCGATTTGGTCAACGTCTAGACGCCCTGCAAAGTTTCACATCTCTAACTCAATTTTAACATGGTTTTTAAGGCACCTGAATACGGCAATTTTCGGTTTTTTACCGAATTTCGTATAACATGCTGGCGCGTATTTTGCGCAAATTTCTTAAAAAACCTCCACATAACTATTTCTTATTCCTGTCATCTTTGACATTGAATTAGAATGTTTTGAACTTAAATATACCTGCTGAACTACTTTCGATGAGTCTTAATGCCTGAAAATAATAAAGGGGTATAATAGTAAAGGGGTATAATAGTAAAGAGGGCAAATAGTATTGTGAATATAAGAGGCACGGTCATGCTTGCCAGCATTGTGATTCGGGAATTACACATTTTGAGTGTAAGTCAAAATATAGTTCTGGGAGGGGGGGGGGGCAACCATATTAAAGTATATTAAAATGTAGGGTTTTCCAATTTTAACCCGGGGATATACTTTGATATACTTTAATATGGCAGACCTACTGTCAGAGATGAGCCGTCTACTCTTTTTGCACCTGACTTACAGCCAGGCCTTTGGTTGGTCCTCGCGACCACAGTGTGACACTGTGACTGCTAGTGGAGTACTCATTGGTGAGACTGCGAGTCACGTGGTGCAAGCAGATGCGTGTGCCGTCACGCATTATGGCGTGACAGGTTTTGGGAGTATAACTATATCCGGATCGGGATAGCGGAAGTGAAGAGCTCACTTCTTTGTTGCCCCTTAATCATTTTAAGGGATTCGAATTGACGATAGCCAGTCTGACTGAGCACTATCTTTTGTGATTAGACACCTCGAGTGATCTATAATTACGTCAATTTAATCGTTTGGAGCGGAGAATAGGAGTTTTATCTGTTGACGCACTATAGTCCTCCTGTTGCGCATGCTCATGCTCTATCCAGAGCCCTCGCGCTTGCACATGCAGTGGCGCGAAAGCACATTACATGGTTAGGTGAAGTCCTCCTGTGACATTAGCCGTCACATAGTCGATTTAGTAAATAATTGTCCATTGTTAATGTAGGGGGTGCAGTGTGCACGATAAAAATAAACTTGCTCGGATTTTCAAAATTGTTGTATCATTGCTTTCTAGAGACTGTGAGAATTTTCACAGTACCAAATTTGTCATACCTTTTTGAAATGATTAGTGAGTTTAATTTCGCCTAAGTGCAAGTGCCATATTTGATGGTGCGCGGCTTTTGGAGCAAAATTGGGTGTAAAAGTCGCGTAATTTGACGAAATTTGTTGATTTTTGTCGTATTATTCTGTCATATCTTTGGTTCCTGAACATATTGTAGCGCGATGCACTACTGGGTCGCGCGCGCATCAAATAATGCTTCTTCGGTAGATCGGCGAGATGCACCACTGTGCCTCACCGAGCTGCGAAGGATTTGATTCACGATGTCAATCCTTCGCAGCTCGGTGAGGCACAGTGGTGCATCTCGCCGATCTACCGAAGTGGTTGCGAGAAGTGGTTGCGAGAAGTGGTTGCGAGAAGCATTATTTGATGCGCGCGCGACCCAGTAGTGCATCGCGCTACAACGAAGGATTGACATCGTGAATCAACTGAACATATAAATCATGCTGAAAATTTGTCAGAATCTTCCGATCATACTTAACTAGTTAACTACCGAACCTACATTATTTGGGAGAGATTGGCCTTCATTTATAAGTCTAAAAATGACAAAATAGGTATAAATTCGTTCATAACTCTAATTCTGACAATCGAAATTGATCAAACTAATTTAGGTTCACTGAACCTCAAAAAGTTATAATACTTTTTATATTCAGATAACAATTTTGTTGAAATTTGGTCAACTTACGTAAACAATTATGTTTTACTGAACCGTTCAGTAAAACATAATTGTTTACGTAAGTTGACCAAATTTCAACAAAATTGTTATTTGAATATAAACAGTATTATAACTTTTTGATTGTTTCCGAAATAATGTGCTGGCCGAAATACGATGTACGAGCTAAAAAACCATTCAATGGTCAGCGCGCGCGTCTTACGGTCGATGGCGCACAGCCTAGTTAATGGACTAGCCCGGCGCGCACTTGGCACTACTTTGTAGCCCGGCGCGCAAGTGCTCCTTTGTAGCACTTGCCTCGAAAAGAAAGCCTTCGAGAAAAAGCGGCGCGCGATCTGTAAAATACATTAAAACAATAAAATCGCGTTTTTGATTTTGTTTATTTGTATCAAACAATACGACAACAATAAATTTAGAAGCGCCGCGCATATTTTATTTAACTGTGAAAATCGAGCGCTACAGCAAAATTTGTTTCTGCGTTAAGGCAGTGAACAATCAAATTTGTGGTAGGGTCCTTCTATTCATTTGTTAAGTTTTTTTCGTTATTATTTATAGCAGTTCAGTATTGTTGGTATCGCACTTAAGTAGTTATTCCGGGCATAATTTGATACTCGAAATTGGTCATGATTGAAGTATTGAGAATTTAAATGACTTTGGTAACTATGGGATGTTTCTACCGCCTTTGTGCTTTTATCCGACATTTGTACAATTGTGTCATACTACTTGAGCTCCCTTTTGTTTGAATACAATACTATGAGTATACTAGGGGAAAGTAATGACTAGAGAACAGTGGCGTAACGTTGCCTGTTGGCGCCCCCCTGCCGAAAAAAGCGCCCCCCTAATGGTGCCCCCTCCCCTTTTGGTGCCCCTCCCTAAAATTGAACAAATTAGGTGATTTTAAAGAATACGCCGGTAAAATCTCTAAAAAAGTGTGTATCTAGAGCAAAACGCGCAGTTTTGCTAGTACTTTAGTTAAGTTTTCGAAATTGTCCCACATTCAAACGAAGATTTGGCGCCCCCCTAAGACGGCGCCCCCCTGCACAGCGGGGTCAGCAGGGCCTTTCGTTACGCCACTGCTAGAGAACGAAGATGTAATTTCTGTGGAATAGCGTCTCAATTCAAAATCCTTAGAACAACAGTGATTTCTCTCTGGGGAGGCAAAGTCCGAGAAAGAAATTTGTAGATATATAGAGTCTCAGTGGCGTAACGAAAGGCCCTGCTGACCCCGCTGTGCAGGGGGGCGCCGTCTTAGGGGGGCGCCAAATCGTCGTTTGAATGTGGGACAATTTCGAAAACTTAACTAAAGTACTAGCAAAACTGCGCGTTTTGCTCTAGATACACACTTTTTTAGAGATTTTACCGGCGTATTCTTTAAAATCACCTAATTTGTTCAATTTTAGGGAGGGGCACCAAAAGGGAGGGGGCGCCAACAGGGGGGCGCTTTTTTCGGCAGGGGGGCGCCAACAGGCAACGTTACGCCACTGGAGAGTCTAGATTTGAAGTTGGAGCCACAAGGCCAAGGGTGAATTTCAAATTTTTCTGCCAATATTTTAGATGGGGAATGTATAGAATTTTTGATTTTATATAGGGTAAGATAAGATAAGATAAGATTTAAAATTATGCCTCTCTGGGCATCTCATATACAAATATAATTACTTCAAAACTGTACAATTTACGTTTAATAAACTATTAAAATATAAAAATTAAAAGAAGTTAACTGAAAACTTCTTGGCTGATAAGTGCCTAAATAAGGCCTTTTAAATTGACCTTCTTCCTCTTAGCTATTATTGGATTATCTTTCATATAATTTACATAATTACTCCTATGAGCTACAGTAACATCAATTCTATCAAATATATCATATGAAAGTTCCCAGTGATGACCAAGCTTATTAGCTCGATATCCACTAAGCCGAAAGGCATCTAATCTACTTTTAAAGCCTGTGCCTGATTCACTAGCTTTAACACACGGAGGCAGGCTATTCCAGTAGCGTAGTACAGCTCTTTGGGCAAAGAAATCAGTCTCATTTGTGGTGAATAAATGAGTCTTTGATCTAGCAGCAACGGTCCTACCATAACGACCAAATAAATCGGAACCATAACCCACAAAGCCTTCCTGGATCTTGAACATCTCAATGAGATCTCCACGAACCCTGCGTTCAAGCAGGGTTGTGAGGTTCAGCTTATCCAGTCTCTCATTGTGATATTATGTGTATAGTGTTTGAATACTTTTTGACTGTTAAAAAAATGTCTTTGAAATAGTGCCATTAAACATGTCTTGACCTCTATCTAATCCCTAAAAGTAAAGTAAAGTAAAGTAAAATTTATGACATCACATCATCACACATGTCTACAAAATATCATCGCACTGTGTGAAAAAATATATAATAAATATTTCCCCACCAACATTAATTATTTATCAAATACAATATTTAAAAACAATTTCATCAAAAACATTGTCCTATTTTAAAAACTTCCCAAAAGAAACATTATCCTATGATTAGTGATTAGTAACCGTATACAATTTCCTACACCAGAGCACAGCCACAACTGTTCTTTCACTAAAACTTGTTTCACTAAATGTTACCATGATTTTGTTAAATAAAGTGCTGGCTGATTTTCAATACTAATGTGCTGATAGCCTTAAAAACAGAAGAATATTTGATTCCATGATGCAAACCCTATTTAATTGACTCCTTTCACGTTTTACCAGTGTTGCAGTGTTTTAAATGTAATCACAGACTTTGTTTCTAATAGAACTATGAGAGTTTGTGTGGAAGAAGAGACAACATGTCATAGAGCTATTTACATAACATCCCACAATCTCACGTTGTGTTTGATTGGTTCATAATTTTGGACTCTAATTATCAAATGATTCAAAGATTAACAAAAAACAACTACAGTAGGTGCTATTGTGCCATTCACCATGTCAATAAAGTCAACTCCTTCTCAAAAGTCGGTGGTTGCTCCAATGGAGATCCAGAAGATACCTAGTTTTGATGCATCAACATGCCCTATTCTTAACGTGGTAGTCTATCCTGACAAAGCTGAGGTTTGTGTATATGTAATTATTATACATGCTTGATAAACTCCTATTAAGGTTGGACTAAATTTGTGTAATTATAATACGGTATTTTCAATCTACTCTAAAAAGTGAACAGTAAATGTATCATAACTCATGATCATGTTTGTAACTAAACATAATATAGAAACTTGCTTCAGATTACAAGGAGAATCAATGTTGAAGTAACAGAGGGGTTATCTCAAATCAATATGACCAATTTGTCAAAGAGCATCGAGCCATCTACTTTAAGGTAATAAATATGTTTCTAGAATGAGAATAAGAAGTTATCATGATTAATAATGTAATCAAGTTCTCATTCGATCCACTTGTTAATTTCATACGTTGATAACGTATTGATTTTAATGTTGATAACAATTAACAGGGTACTGATAGGAGGCAACTCAATACTGAATGAAGTCAACTTCGTGGCAAAAAGTGCCTTGGACGAAAATGTTGAAGCTAGCGGGCAACTTGATGACCTCAAAATCAAACAAGCTGAACTTTTGAAGGTACCAAATTGTTCAGTTTTGAAAGTCATAACAAATGACCCGAAAAAATTATTCTATATTTTTGAGCAGCAGTTTTATCATGACATTAACATGCAGACAATTTAACTAACTACTTGGGGGTAACATACCTGACTGACCTGACTAAGACACTCGACCAACAATCACAGGAGGCACGACGTGAATCAATTGAATTATATCGGCAGGAGTTCAATGATCTGGATGTGAAAGAAAATACGTTAAAGAAACAGAAAGACGTGCTGGAGGCATTTGCTAACAGAATAATCAACTTCAAATCAAATCCTCAGGTTAATCTTAAATTATTAAAAATCTTACCTTTGTTCAATTTTGTGTACCGATTTAAACCGTTATTCTGTTTTAATTCATTAAATGTACTCATGACGTAACTTAACCTTATTCCTTGACTTCTATTTTAAACGCAACATCTTTTTAGGACGGTTTTGATGCAGTTAGTATATCATCTTTGGATATGGTATCTAAGTTCCTTCCAATGTATGAAGAGCAGTCAGCCAAAATCAGTGATAACCTATCCGAAGTGAAAGAGCTGAGATTATCATTGGATAAGAAACTAAAAGAGGTCACGAATGAAATAAACGCAACAGATCCAGCTAAGGATGGAATCATAAGCAGGTAAAATAAGCGTAATAATTGTTAGCTGCTACATCACATCATAAGCAGGTATAATAAGCGTAATAATTGTTAGCTGCTACATCACATCATAAGCAGGTATAATTAATAATAAGCGTAATAATTGTTAGCTGCTACATCACATCATAAGCAGGTATAATAAGCGTAATAATTGTTAGCTGCTACATCACATCATAAGCAGGTATAATAAGCGTAATAATTGTTAGCTGCTACATCACATCATAAGCAGGTAATAAGCGTAATAATTGTTAGCTGCTACATCACATCTGATAGCTGTTATCACATCAGCAGTGAAACTGCGCCTGATATTACTTACATTTAATTTTAAACCTTGAATATGTAACGTATTGTTAGGACCCGGGCCCTTGATAGAACTCAGACAATCTCCTTCCCAGAGAGGTACAGATACTGATAGAAGCGTACGACACGGAGGAGGTGAAGCTCTTTGTTAGTTATGTGGTTAACGATGCAGGCTGGGTCCCCAAATATGATCTCCGAATTCATTCAAGAGACAAAAACCTTAAGGTTAGATCATGTATGATGTAGTTGGTTCATAGAGATAAATTAACATTTATATAATTTCTCTTTCCCCCATGGCGAGTTTCACGCACCTATCTAAGCCATAATCTTGCAGGTATTCCAGACTTCTAATCAATAATGACGTTTTAATAATTCTGGCTGTTGGAATCGAATTTCTTTGATATTCAATAATTCTATCTAGATTTTTCTTTTAAATGTTTAACGTCATTACAGTATTAGCGATAAGGAATATTTTACGCACCTTGTACCAATATTAAATTATAAGATTACATTCTGGTTGGTTATATGGAGGAAATTGCATGCATCCCGTACTTGAATCGGCTAATGTTTTACACGAATGTGACGTAAAATCAACCACGTGGAGCAAATACCTTTCTTCAAATAAATTTCTCCTCGGAATTTGTACAATGATTAATCATACAATTCAGTTAACTCAACTAATCAAACAATGCTGCTATTTATAGTATTCAAATTAATTCTTACCACCACTACTTTACTTTATATTAGTTTATATTATTTGTGGTTGAATTTCTCACCTACTGTTATACACCTACCCACGTGACTGGTACACACCTACCCACGTGACTGGTACACACCTACCCACGTGACTGGTACACACCTACCCACGTGATACATCCGAGGGTATGTTATAAATTATGGTGCAACCTGCAAATCAGTGAACCGTCAATGTAATCATCACACCCTCGTGTGCCCCACCAATACAATTATTACATTGCTTACCCTGACAAATATTTCTCTGCAAAATCTACTTTACCAACACCCTTACGTAAAGCATATAATTTTGATTAGATTGTCTGAGTTTCATGATCCTATTTTAATAAGTTGTATTCAGTGATTTATAAATCATTCAATATAAATCATATAAATATCTGTGGCCCGTCCTGCCGAACAGATGAATATAATAGGATACTAATGGTATTTCATAGTAAACTGAGTAAGAATTACCAGCCACTATTAGAGTTAGTTATAGGGCAGTGCCTTCTCGTTTACCTTGTACAGCTGGATAATGGGCAGGAAAACACTGGAGTTACTACAACTAATATAAAGTATATATATATGCTTCCCCAACATACTCTAACATGCTTCCTAAGACGGAGGAACCTCCTTCCTCCGGTTATACCCAATTAGAGGCAGACAACAGTCGGCTTGGCTTCCTGCCAAAACTCCGACAAATACAGTGTACACCTCCTTATAAAGCCTAATATACTGCAAAGTGCATTTTGTACTCCAGCTTAAATCTCTAATCTACTGGTCCTTGGTCCAAATTCCATTATTACAAAATCTTTCAAACTCAGTAGATCAGGAATGTAGTTTTACAGGAACTAATTTGTTTAAAAAACTATAAATTACAAATATGTTACAATGGAGCCAGAGGGTGTGGGGTAACTCACTACTGCCAATCTTGAGGCTCCTCAACTTGCTGGAGAACAACTCAGACTGACCCTAAGGCTCTCCAATAACATTACGATTAAATTTAGTACATTTCAATTGCACTCTGAATTAGATTATTAGATTAGGATTATTGGTTATAATAGCGGAGATCTGCACACTTTCACACGGTACGCGCTTCGTGATTTTGCCGCTCAAAATGTTGACAGGTTCTCAAAGTGATGTCATGGAAATTTGAAATGCATACTAGGAAATCGTGCTGACATGAAAACAGAAAACCTCTCAGATCTTAAAGAACTGAGAACTTTGGTTAAAATCACATTAAAATAGCTAACGACAGGCAAGGGTCAATTGCTTATAGTCATAGCCTATAAGTAACATTAGTTCAAATTTCCGGCTTTTAATGAATCACATTAGAAATTAGATCCCAGTCGCACCTGCTTCCCGGTGTAGTGGTATTTCATATCAATATCAGCATTTTCACACTGAAACTATATTGAGTCATTACAGTGATTGATTTTTCAGTCATATTATAATAACACCCACTGTCATTAATCATACTTTTAATATCTTTATATCTACACAGACAAAATATCCAGGATATAATGCTACACAATCTAGCAATCTAACAGTGTTTTATAGAACTGGATCTTGAGATGGTCACGTGATAGCTCGTACAAACTCTTTATCGACTGACGACAACTCTATAATATTTCATATCAGAGCAGTTGCAGCACTGTACAGAGGCTGGTTTCTGGTCAACATCAGCAGTATTTTCCCCGCTTCCCTTTGGCTTGGTCTATTTTCAGAATACTGATAGTAAGAATACACAAAATATTGGGTGTCAAGATACATAACCGATAATAACTTTAACTGGTGCAGGTGGGCACATGTAAGGTTCTTTACAATTAGCGATTTAACGGCGGTACATCTCTTCTCGTGTTGCAACAAAGTATTCTAAAAATGTATCTTATCTGTTAAGACTTTCAACTTTCAAGGATGATCCCAATTACTCATTCTCAATAATAAATCTTATCTTCCTTTGATTTAGTATAACGAAGTAACTCTATGATCTAAATAATACACTGTATGTGGAAAACCCTGCTCACTGCTCACTGCTCAGTAGTATGTGCTTTTCCGCGAGTTGTTAACAACAGCTGCTACCATTAGTCCGTTAGTCGTTACAGAATATTATTCATGATGTCAATGGCTAGCCTCCACAAAATAACGTTCCATTGTTATCAAAAAGCTCAGCCCACAATCCTACAATATCCATATAATTTCAACTTGTAACTATCCTATCCTGGTAAAGACTGGACACATTGTCTTCATCTGGTACGTGAATTTAACTTGTTCCACTTTGGTACGTGTATTTAACTTTATCGAGTAGTTATGCTCGAACGTGACGTGTGAACATATCGAATTATCGAAAGCTTTTGACACTGTAAATCACTAATGTCGATATTATAATATCATAATAGGTTGTATATCATGATATCATAATCACCGGGTTATTTACGTCACCTCTAAGCGTGTTTGGTCAACAAAATTCTTTACATACAATATAAGAACACGATTCTTACCAAAACTGAACATGTACAGATGAAACTGAAATCGCAGTTTCTGTTTCAACCCCCCCCCCCCCCCCCCCCCCCCCCCATACCATCGCTTTTCTGTATTATAATGAAGACGTGACCACATCACCTAAATCGTCAATATCAGGTACTCTATTTTGGACTGGTGTCCCAGAACACCGGAGAAGATTGGAACGACGCTAAAATCAGTCTCAGCACTGCTGCTCCTAGCACTGGAGGTAGGATCCTTACATCTTTCCTTTTTATTTGTGTGTCATTATAATGCTGGCATTTTAATTGTTAATTGAGGAATCATTAAAAATAGTCATTATAAACTGTCGTGTGGTCTTTGTATGTTTGAAGGTCGGGCAGCCGATGTTTTTTCAAAGTTCACTTAATTAGTATTTAATTAATTAATAATTAAATAATTATTATTTAATTGGTCAAGCTCCACCTTATTTTCTCCACTATTCACTCCTGTGTCGCGTCTACTAGAATTGTGAAGTACTGATTACAACAACAACAATAAGTCCCAGGTGTGTCTGGGCGTCGTTGTTAATTTTAAAACTTTTCAACTTTTAGCACTACTACATATTATAATCCCAGATACAGTGCTCTAGATACACATATCCAAAATCAGGGTTTATTAATATATGTCCTGGGTTATTAGATTGACAGTTGACTGAGCTGGATTATATAATACAAACACGAGATATATGAGACAGGAGTAAGGACAATATCTCCGAATTAGTGAAGTCAGTGCGGGGTGACCTAATAGATTTCGGGTTCCTGAAGTCTGTACTTTGACCGTCCGATAGTTAAGTCTGTCTGAAAACTGCCTGATGTGCTGTGTAGTGTATCTGGAGAGATTTATTGCCAGAAGTGTCACTTGTTAGGTTAAGAATAACATTAACGTGTTATAATGACACTTGGTATGTTAATGGGCTGTTATAGTTTCGTTTATGTAGGAAACGCTCAAGTTAACTTCCTCTTACATACAGATTAGTAGAGCCTAAAATGATAATTATTATAACACTGCAATTATAGGAACACTTTTAACCCTCAAAAGTTTTAATAGTAATTGTAACAACACTGTTATTATGATAACACTATACTTAATTATAATAGTTTACAATTTAATAGTTTATAATTATAATAGTTTATAATTATAATAGTAGTTATAATAAAACACTATGCTAGACCCTCAAAAGTTAAACGGTGCAGTACGAATACATCGTGGAGACAGAGAGGTTCTCAACCACATTTTACTGGATTATTTCTGCTAATTGCCAAGTGGTGCAGCGATAAAATTCGGCTGATAATACTTGTTTTGTCATTGTTGTCTGCTATTATCACGCTTCACTCCAACTGTTTGTCGACCAATACCAATACTACTATTGTTAGAACAGGCAGATCAAAAGATTTGTACAAACCTGGAGCAGGTTTTCTACGATCTATAATGATATTAGATAACTTTGAAATATCAGGCATCATGTATAAACTAATAAATATAATGTATAAAGTGTGTGAGTCACACGTCTTAGTAGCTCCTTATTGACAAGCAGTTATAATATACGTGATCATGCACATACGGACCATATAAACATCGTGTATTTTCCGTGTATTTGTCTCCTTCTTCCTTGAGATTCTTCAGACTTTTTAACAAGTTTACTTTTCAGGATTACCGTCGTTGGGTACGCACGAGTTGCACGGTAGACTGGCTGCAATGCCCGGAACTCCCAACTCTTTTAAGAGAACCAGACATCACGGAACCAGCATCAAGAGGAAGAAATCTGGTTAGTTTCAAATACTTGCACAACTTACTAGTTACTGTAAATACTTAAACTTACCGACGACTATTTGGTTCTTGTCTAATGGCTATGTACTTGTAGAATATAGAACAGCAGTATACTAGAGTAGGTAGACTAATCAGTACACTAATAAGATGCCACCTTGTATAGTCTAGTACACCTAGACTGTTCTACACAACCTACTCATGTCTATGATATCTGACAGGTCTTTAACAATCAGGATACGAAATAACACATATATAACAGCAACACATTGAAACTTACACTTCCTCGTTATACGTCCCTCTTCTTTACACTCTTCATTACACTTTATCGTACAGTGTACAGTGTGAGCAGTGATATCGCAGATTCACTTCCTCACTTCCTTGCAGACCTATGGATATCAGGCAGTGTAGCTAGTAGCACTAAGTTAGTTCCTCTGTAGAGTGTGTAGGAAGTAATGTAGGAAGTAATGGAGGATGTAGGAAGTCTTGTTAGGAAGAGGCCGCAGCAGCTGTTGTAGTAGCAAGCTTTGAAGTAAAGCGCATCGTCTGTCGCCCTATTACTCGGTACTTCAACTTGGTATGTGAGAGTAAGTTAGATGAGGTAATACTTTTGTGATGAGCAGATGACACGGTTACTGGTAGAAACGGTGTGCACGAGACTAAATGTGGAAACCAATTACAGATATCAGAATAGGTATGAACTAGAACTGAAATGGTATGGATACCGAAACACTGAAGTTAAATCACAACCTTTTTTCAGCCCTTTTTTCGCTGAAAGATCTAGTGTACAGACATTTTGTCAGCTAATTTAGGGAACTGTGAAATGTGAGCTTGGTGTGAAATGTGACATGTTATCTTTAAAGTGTGGTGTTTGCGGGTTTGTTGAAGTTTTACTTCTATCTTTATTTGGGTAAGCTATGATGAAATTAAATCTGGTATGTATCTGGTTTGGGCGTGCCTGAAATATTCTGAATTATCTCTATTTTGCTGGTCACTTGATCAGATAGACATAAAAGGGAGAAGTTGGTTTCCCCCGCTCATATGGTAACTAAAACACTCAAAGGATGGCCTTCCGGGATTCTCAGAAATTACAGATTCTCACTTTTTGTGTTACATCAACGACATCTTTGTTTACAGCCTACACTTTCTGTAGAAGAAAATCGTTTAAAAATAGTGAGTTCATTAAAACGGTGATCTAGAATGTTCCAGTTGACCTTATAAGGGCATCACGTGGTTCCAATTGACAATTTAGTATTTCCTAACAAACTGCCTTCAGGGCAGAAAGATACAGGACACTTTTCACGACAGTACAGTGAACTGCCTACAGACAAACAGCGACACACATTAGACAGACAAACATTGGACAGACAGGGTGGTAGTAGAGGTCTGGCTGCCTCCCAATCTTCAGGGTTCGGCACCTGGGACAGACGTGCCAGCTATGAGTCTTTGTATGGGGTTATACTAGGTACCTACTACTATATTATTATAATTATACTATTCTACTACTCTATACAACTATACTTTACTACCACTCTACTACTGTGTTGTCCTAAAGTGTTGATATATTTATAATCTATTAAAAATTCTCGCATAGACAGATTTAAAGTACAAATTTAGTCAAATCTCCTTTTTACCGTGCCTCCATTTACCACTTATTAGCCTTGTTTCCCCAAATACTGGTTTTATATGTATAATTATATGAATCTTACTTCTAGCTACCTTGTACTTACTTATGTCTGGCTTTTTGATTCGTCCTGAGATATTCAGCTAGATGAATGAAGAATACAAATAAGGAATATGAAGAACATTTCAGGGTGGGGTTACAATTATTCGTCTCATGAATTCTAATTGGTAAAAAATAAGCCTTAACAATCAGCAGTATTTTATCTTAACTATCTCAAAACAAGACTTAACTTGCTATTTTGAGCAGTTCACTCTCTCTCTCTCTCTCTCTCTCTCTCTCTCTCTCTCTCTCTGTTTTGAGCGGTTACAGTTATCTTTGTCGACGGAAACGTAAGTTTAATAACTCCGAAAGTTTTACAATTTTCTGCACTTCACCTCTATTTGCGCAGACTTCATCACTGTCTACCAAATACTCTGCCTTAATTACAAACTATTCTTGTCTTTTTCGTGAAATTATTACCTCATCTTGTCTTGAGGTAGGGCGGTAGGCCTGAACAATAGTCTGAACTAAAAGTTCACCTTAAAGTCTGAATAGTCTGAACTAATGATATCGCAGTTTGTTAACAGCAGAATAACTAACAGCCTATACTTATAGGCTGTTGTTGTTGTGACTGTACCCTTACAAGCAACCTCGAATTATCACATACCAAGTTGTTGAAGTGATAGTTACGTTATAAAAATACTGAGAATACAAAACAAGATACCATATAAATATCCGGTAATTATATCTGGTAATAATCATAGTGACTGTCTGTGTGACATGTGTTACTACATGTAATTATGTATGATGTAACTTGGTATTTTTATAATCGCTTTTTAAAAGCACGAACAATGCTATTCTGATCTGGGTCGCACATAAAGTAATTCCTCCAAGTTTTTAGTGAGGTCTTTTACTGCACTTCCCACGGGAATGAACTAACAAACAATTAACAAATACCTTACAAACAAGCACATTGACAAACAAAAGTTATAATTTAAGAAACATGAGTACTGAAGCTGGCTACAGCCTACAACAATTTCTTAAACTGTAAATTGACAAAACCGATACCTCTCAGTTACTGCGACGAATCATTGTAAATAGTAGCACAAAAGAGCAGTCTAACTTCACATCAGTTTAGTGCTGACACTTGATAGGCAACTCGTCAATCTTTCTCTGTGTAAACGGCTTATTTATATTAAACGAGTTATTTAAACTAGTTATTAGGCGACAATGTATTGACTTGTGTTTGTTTCCTCCCAGAGAAGAATGTACGTATACCCACAACGGAGAGCACAATAGAGGAAGACGCTGCTGCTGAGTTAACACCCAAAGTTAACGGAATCGAACATGGTAGTGATGAGAACCTTGTAAGTGTCCCTTTATATATTGTTTATAAATCTCAGTCCAGACTCCAGACATTAAGTTCTTGAGCCGAATCATTCCTAATTGTTTTCTTTTTTGTTTATTAAAATAACTGAACGAATCTTACTTCCGTGGGGTGGGCCTGTATTAGCTAATATGTACATATTTTATAATGGTACGGTCTCACCCGAATTGAATACGTTGTAACGTCAGTACATGAACAAATGTTTTAAATAGTTTGTATGTTACTGCGAGGCTTCAATGACATAATGTTAACCTCTCTAAACGTTAAAACCTGCATTCTAGATTAATGACATGCTCCAACCACCATTACTTCCCCACAGTACTGTCCACACTTTGAGAAGCTATAACCACCAATCTATTTCTGAACCACTACTCAGCTATTATAGAAATCACATTGCATTGTATATGAAATGTTGAAATTGGTTTTAAAGCCCTTATGGGTACCAGCAAACTCCAGTTTTAGAACTGGGTGTGGATGTGTTGCTGTGTAAAACATTTCTTTCTTAAACTTATCTTATATATAAATATATTTCTAAAACGTATCTCTTATCTATACTATATTCTAAACTCGTATGAACCAATTTCAGCTCGCAAACTCCCTATTTTTAGCAATGTTGTAGCAAAATGATTTGCAGCTATTAATATTATAGCATTTATATAATTGTGATTTAGTCTTTAGATTTCTTTTAAACAATGTCGGATGTAAGAAAAAATAGACCTTAGGATAAAAGCACAATTTTATCTAAGTTTTACTGTGTGGTCGTTTGGCAATCTAAAAATATTGCACGTGCGCAAGCAAGCACAGATGTAGAATGCACGTTTTCATGCTTTATGATACATCATGACTAGCTTACATTTGTACGCTAACGCTTATATCTTTATATATATGACTAACTCATAACTTAGGTTGTGATTGATATTTTTTTAAAGTATGGAGTAGGGGTAATACGTAGAACTTTGTTGTCATCGTCAAATAAAAATCCATTAGTTTTTAATAACAAGTAAGTTATAATTGTAACCTGTTTCAGATGGTGGATTTCAAAGACCTGGCTCTGGAGGAGGTTATCCCAGTTGAGAGCAGGCCGGTAGTTATCAGCACAACGTACGGAGCTGCTATGGAGGAAGTCAATGTTCCCTCAGACAAGACCGGACACAAGGTTTGTTTATTTGTTGTTTGTGCGATCAAGCACAATATAAAGTGCGGAGTCACGTTGTAGACTCACATTATAGATAGATCCGTGTTTATCAGCGGTTGCATAGTGTACAGTTATTCTTGTTGATGACCAGCCCGCGGTCATCTCCTTTCAATCATCCTTAGAAATTATTCACGTGCGACAGTGACCACTGAACAGCATTGAATTCTCGTTACATGCTAATTCGTATCTTTTGTGGCCATTTAGCATGTGAGCTATGTTCCATCGTAAGATTGCTATTATTAACCACCCGTGAATTCCAACAAGCAATAACACATACTCTAAATACCACGATTAGTATCTTTAAATTCTTCCTGTCGGGTGAAATTACTATTTCAACACATCAAAACACATACTGGAGGTCTTGACCTCAGATATTTTTATAATGAAGCGATTTAATAATATTTTGTACTTTCGAAATTCTATTTTAGACTTTACATAATAATAATGTAAGATTGACATGGAAACCGTGAAAACGTTTTGTTAAATTTACATAACATCAAGCTGTAGTTATACTAAAATATTGTAAAGCACAATATCATGTATATTAAGTTTTATACACGCATTATACACAGTAACTTATCATCTCAAGTGTGTGAGCTATATAATGCGTGTATAAAATTAATTAATTTGATATTGTGCTTTACAATATTTTAGTATAACTTACAGTTGATGTTATGTTGAATTTTAAAAAACGTTTTCCCCACAACGTTTCATGTCAATATTAATTATTATTATGTAAAGTCTAAATAGAATTTTCGAAAGTACAAAATATTATTTAATCGCTTCATTATAAAAATTTTGAGGTCAAGACCTACAGTATGTGTTATGAAATGTTGAAATTAGTAATTTCCCGACAGGACGAATTTAAAGATACTACTCGTTGTATATAGAGTTGTGTATTCTTGTTGGAATACACGGGTGGTTAATAATAGTAATCTTACGATTGAAATAGGCTGCCGCTAAATGCTAATATGGTCCACAAACTGATCTGAATTCGCATGTACGAGAATACTCAATGTGATCAGGTGAGTCCCTGTGCACATGGGAATAATTTTAAGGATGAATGAAGGACGTTGGACGCGGGCTGGTCATCAACAATCCTAACATAACTATGCAACCGCTGGATAAAACGGAATATATCTATACTGTGTGGTCTACAACGTGACTCCGCATTTATATTGTGCTTTAACTCCTACCAACAAATAAACAAACCCTTGTGGTCCGGTCTTGTCTGAGGGAACCTTGACTGCCTCCATAGAGCTCCGTACCGTTGTATGATAAACTACTGGTGCTCTCAACTGGGGATTACCTCTCCAGAGCCAGGTCTATGAAATACCACAACTTAACACAGGTTACAATTATATTACTTGTTATTACAACTAATAGATATTAAATGTGACGATGACAACAATTTACGTAAACCCCTACTCATACTTTAAAAAATATCAATCACAACCTAAGTTATGAATTAGTCATATATATAAGCTGTTAGCGTACAATTGTTTTTTTAAAAAAGCTAGGTCATGATGTATTTTCATAAAGGCATGAAAATCGAGCATTTCAACATCTGTGCTTGCTTGCGCACGTGCAATATTTTAAGATTGCCACACGACACACACAGTTAAAACTTAGATAACATTGTGCTTTTATCCTAGGTCATTTTTTCTTACATCCGACATTGTTTAAAAGATATCTAAAGACTAAATCCAATAATATAAATGCTATATATAATAGCTGCATTTTGCTCCAACATTGTCAATCGTTGTAACTCCGTTTTCGAGCTGAAATTGGTTCATACGAGTTTAGAATATAGTATAGATAAGAGATACGTTTTAGAAATATATTTATATATAAGATAAGTTTAAGAAAGAAATGTTTTACACAGCAACACATCCACACTCAGTTCTAAAACTGGAGTTTGCTGGTACCCATAAGGGCTTTAAAACCAATTTCAACATTTCATATACAATGCAATGTGATTTCTATAATAGCTGAGTAGTGGTTCAGAAATAGATTGGTGGTTATAGCTTCTCTAAGTGTGGACAGTACTGTGGGGAAGTAATGGTGGTCGGAGCATGTCATTAATCTAGAATGCAGGTTTTAACGTTTAGAGAGGTTAACATTATGTCATTGAAGCCTCGCAGTAACATACAAACTATTTAAAACATTTGTTCATGTACTGACGTTACAACGTATTCAATTCGGGTGAGACCGTACCATTATAAAATATGTACATATTAGCTAATACAGGCCCACCCCACGGAAGTAAGATTCGTTCAGTTATTTTAATAAACAAAAAAGAAAACAATTAGGAATGATTCGGCTCAAGAACTTAATGTCTGAAGTCTGGACTGAGATTTATTAACAATATATAAAGGGATATATAAAGGGACACTTACAAGGTTCTCATCACTACCATGTTCGATTCCGTTAACTTTGGGCGTTAACTCAGCAGCAGCATCCTCCTCTATTGTGCTCTCCGTTGTGGGTATACGTACATTCTTCTCTGGGAGGAAACAAACACAAGTCAATACATTGTCGCCTAATAACTAGTTTAAATAACTCGTTTAATATAAATAAGCCGTTTACACAGAGAAAGATTGACGAGTTGCCTATCAAGTGTCAGCACTAAACTGATGTGAAGTTAGACTGCTCTTTTGTGCTACTATTTACAATGATTTGTCGCAGTAACTGAGAGGTATCGGTTTTGTCAATTTACAGTTTAAGAAATTGTTGTAGGCTGAAGCCAGCTTCAGTACTCATGTTTCTTAAATTATAACTTTTGTTTGTCAATGTGCTTGTTTGTAAGGTATTTGTTAATTGTTTGTTAGTTCATTCATAAAAGACCTCACTAAAAACTTGGAGGAATTACTTTATGTGCGACCCAGATCAGAATAGCATTGTTCGTGCTTTTAAAAACCGATTATAAAAATACCAAGTTACATCATACATAATTACATGTAGTAACACATGTGGCACACAGACAGTCACTATGATTATTACCGGATATAATTACCGGATATTTATATGGTATCTTGTTTTGTATTCTCAGTATTTTTATAACGTAACTATCACTTCAACAACTTGGTATGTGATAATTCGAGGTTGCTTGTAAGGGTACAGTCACAACAACAACAGCCTATAAGTATAGGCTGTTAGTTATTCTGCTATTAACAAACTGCGATATTATTAGTTCCTACTATTCAGACTATTAGTTAAACTTTTAGTTCCTACTATTCAGACTATTAGTTAAACTTTTAGTTCCTACTATTCAGACTATTAGTTAAACTTTTAGTTCAGACTATTCAGACTATTGTTCAGGCCTACCGCCCTACCTCTAGGACAAGATGAGGTAATAATTTCACGAAAAAGACAAGAAGAGTTTGTAATTAAGGCAGAGTATTTGGTAGACTGTGTTGAAGTCTAGGATGATGGGCCGCAAATAGAGGTGAAGTGCAGAAAATTGTAAAACTTTCGGAGTTATTAAACTTAAGTTTCCGTAGACAAATATAACTGTAACCGCTCAAAATAGCAAGTTAAGTCTTGTTTTGAGATAGTTAAGATAAAATACTGCCGATTGTTAAGGCTTATTTTTTACTAATTAGAATTCATGAGACGAATAATTGTAACCCCACCCTGAAATGTTCTTCATATTCCTTATTTGTATTCTTCATTCATCTAGCTGAATATCTCAGGACGAATCAAAAAGCCAGACATAAGTAAGTACAAGGTAGCTAGAAGTAAGATTCATATAATTATACACATAAAACCAGTATTTGGGGAAACAAGGCTAATAAGTGGTAAATGGAGGCACGGTAAAAAGGAGATTTGACTAAATTTGTACTTTAAATCTGTCTATGTGAGAATTTTTAATAGATTATAACACACATAACCCCGGCATGCGCAGGGATTATATTTCAATTTTTCCCGCGACGCGCGGGAAAAGTTTATAATAATTTCGAGTGCGAAGCACGAGGGATTATTATGAAAATAACCCCGACGTGCTTTAGCACGAGGGGTTATTTTAATATAACTTAAGCGTGCCGGTGTTATGTGTTATAAACCCCTCCGGGTTAGTGCTAGGACCAACAAATTTGACATTTTACTCTTAAATATAGCTATATGAGATCATTATGGAAAATATGAAATGGAATTGGGGACTACCAAATAAATACAACTAAGGTACTATGACTTTTGAAATTGGCGTTATATCTAAACATTATTCCTCAGTCAGAACGTTGAATGAATTTGAATATCGATAAGGGGCGTCGAGTTAAGCCTGGCAAGCGATAAAAGCTAATAATGATATCGTGTCATGAAGTTTATCAAAGTAGACGACTATAATACATGGCTTATATCAAACACGACAAAATTAACCGAACCGGACAAAATCAAATGTAACCGTCGAGACAAGTTTTGGAACTGGTCCAATTAATGTAAGAGTTTAAGTAATGTAAGCAGTGTGCTGGAGTTTTGCCAGCGCCTGCAGATACGTAGATCAAGTGTATTTATAGTTCTTACGTTAAGCCATAGGTCACGTGACATTTTTTACCAATGCGCGTCGTAGTAGTTAGTCACGTGATACACGTCATCAAAACACGTGACAGTACGCGGTTGAAATTCTCATGGAATGCCAAAACAAAACAAATCTTGTTGAGCCAAATTAGCGGGGCGGGATTATAAAAGCTGTGCCGGGGTTATTTATTCAGCGGGAAAAAACTAACAGCGGGAGCCGGGATTATCAGAATCTATTTAGCGGGAGCCGGGATTATCAGAATCTTATTCTATCCCGGAGGGGTTTATAAATATATCAACACTTTAGGACAACACAGTAGTAGAGTGGTAGTAAAGTATAGTTGCATAGAGTAGTAGAATAGTATAGTTATATAGTAGTACCTAGTATAACCCCATACAAAGACTCATAGCTGGCACGTCTGTCCCAGGTGCCGAACCCTGAAGATTGGGAGGCAGCCAGACCTCTACTACCACCCTGCCTGTCCAATGTTTGTCTGTCTAATTTGTGTCTGTCTAATGTGTGTCGCTGTCTGTCTGTAGGCAGTTCACTGTACTGTCGTGAAAAGTGTCCTGCATCTTTCTGCCCTGAAGGCAGTTTGTTAGGAAATACTAAATTGTCAATTGGAACCACGTGATGCCCTTATAAGGTCAACTGGAACATTCTAGATCACCGTTTTAATGAACTCACTATTTTTAAACGATTTTCTTCTACAGAAAGTGTAGGCTGTAAACACAGATGTCGTTGATGTAACACAAAAAGTGAGAATCTGTAATTTCTGAGAATCCCGGAATGCCATCCTTTGAGTGTTTTAGTTACCATATGAGCGGGGGGAAACCAACTTCTCCCTTTTATGTCTATCTGATCAAGTCACCAGCAAAATAGAGATAATTCAGAATATTTCAGGCACGCCCAAACCAGATACATACCAGTCACCAGACTTAATTTCATCATAGCTTACCCAAATAAAAATAGAAGTAAAACTTCAACAAACCCGCAAACACCACAGTTTAAAGATAACATGTCACATTTCACACCAAGCTCACATTTCACAGTTCCCTAAATTAGCTGACAAAATGTCTGTACACTAGATCCTTCAGCGAAAAAAGGGCTGAAAAAAAGTTGTGATTTAACTTCAGTGTTTCGGTATCCATACCATTTCAGATCTAGTTCATACCTATTCTGATATCTGCAATTGGTTTCCACATTTAGTCTCGTGCACACCGTTTCTACCAGTAACCGTGTCATCTGCTCATCAGAAGAGTATTACCTCATCTAACTTAATCTCACATACCAAGTTGAAGTACCGAGTAATAGGGCGACAGACGATGCGCTTTACTTCAAAGCTTGCTACTACAACAGCTGCTGCGGCCTCTT